TCTGAAGAAAATGAGGAACAAGAGAATCTGAAGAATTAGGCTTGAGATATCTACGCGGCACAAACTCTAGAATGTCCTTGGAAACATTGGACATGACATCACGAAGAATGGTTTCATCGCTACAAGTGAGGAAGCCACACCATTCCAAGGATCTCATATAGTTATTTATTAAGTCGCTATCTACGCAGTCGTAGTTCATGAAAGTCTGAACGGCACTTGCCTTTTTTGAAAAGGCAAGCGGTGGGCAACAATGAATTAATACGTGGTCACTGTCAAAGTGGTCCTTTTTTAAAGCAACAGAAAGAGGAGCAATGTCATTGGTAAAGATTAGATCTAAAATGTGATTATCTCTTGTTGGAGAGCGCACCAGTTGTGACCAATTAGAAAAATTGATAATATCTTGAAAGGACTGGAATCTGGGTGGGCAGCTATTGGAAACCCAGTCTATTTCAGAAAGTTTAAAATCCGCAGTGATTATTTTAACATCGAAAGCAGCTTCCGAAATTAATTTAAAGATTTCACAGAGTTGAGAATCATCACTGGCTAAAGAATTTGGGGGGTTGTAGATACAGCCAATAATTGCCTTTCTTTGCGGCGAGAGAATAACAGATGCAAAGCAGAAGTTTCCCGTGAATGAGGAAACATCCAGGTAATAGGGAGAGTGCTTTAGGTAGGATTTAAGATAAAGAAGACAACCACCCCCCACGCCTAGTCGTGCGGTCTTGGCGGTAAAAATCGAAGTCATCTATGAGAAGGGCAGAGTCAGGAATTAGAGAATGTGTCCAAGATTCTGTTACACATATAATATCAGGCGTCATTTCCAGAGCAATGGCTCTGGTTTGGGCCATCTTGTTTATAACAGACCTGGCATTCAATAATATAATATCTAATGTGTTTCGAACGGCAATGCTATTTTCGACGGTATTTAAAAAAAATTTGGAGGCGGATATGTAAGCTGCGAATTAATGACACTTGGAGAATAAGTACCAGTTAATTTAGAGTTATTGACGTATGGGGAGTCAGCAAGAGACCTAAAGGAGGTGGGGATATAGTTTTCAAACATTGGAATGCTAGGGGAGTTAGAACATGGATAGACTTGTTGGTAGTTAAATAATGGAGGAAGGGGAGGAGGAGGAGGATGGAGGCTAGAAGGAAAGTAGAGGCTAATGGGTGAGGGTAGGCCACTAAAAGAATGAAATAGTGGGAAACCAGGTCTAGATTGTAAGTCAAAGTAGATTGTTTGACGTACCTGAGAGCAATTGGCCTTAAGTTTTAGGAAGCCTGAACTAGGTTGGGGCATAAATGAATTAGGGCAATTCATGTATGAATTAGTTGCTGGATATATAGTAGGGCTTTGATAAGTAACCGGTACGCAGGACAGAGAATTATTAGAGGATATAATTGGAGCTGCGGGATTTGTAGACGTGCTGGGCTGAACAGACTTGTTAGATCTAAGAGAAGGCGTCGTACCTCCAAATGGAACTGTACTACCTTTCTTTTGGGTCGGAGTCTGATTCAATTTTTGAGTCTCACCGTTCTGACGCCAAGCCACTGGTGACTTAGCTGTAGACCTTACAGCACCCAGTTGGACAATAGAAGTTATCGGTCTAGCTGATGTAGACGGATTTTCATGTGTCTCAGCGGGACTATCCGGAGGATACGAAACGACAAATGGGGCTGCTGCTGCTGCTGCTACTGCAAGTTTAGGGGCAGGCAAATGCGTCAAGTGGCTCGAGTGAGATGGAGATGTCGGAGAAAGAGGAAGGAGGGAGTCAGATGTCGCAGGAGTAGGAGAAGCTGAATCCTTACGGCCACTTGTATTATGACCGAGTTGGGGAGCATTAGACTGAGAAGCAGTAGGTTTACGTGAGAATAGAGACCCCATTCTACGCTCCATAGGAGTAAGATCATGACAAAGGAAAAATTTTGCCTTCTCTAGGTACGCAGTGACACGCTCTCGATGGGTAAAGATTGTGTCAACCTCGATTGATGAAAACAATTTGACTAAGATGGGGGGATTTGTACTACGGGAGGACAAGCGTTTGGCATCCGCTATTTTATAGTTGAAACCACATGAATACAGGAAACTGGTCGCAACATCAATTGGCCGAGCAGATCGAGGAACATTTTTTAGCAGGAAGTTGTAAGAACGCTTCTGTCTATCACTAGATTCACTGGCGATCAGGTGAACAAGTGAGTCGAGACGCCTACATTCTTCAGAGGGAATATCGGAGATGTTCCCGTCGAATAAATGTCCAAGAATTGTCAGCAAAGAGCCAAACTTTAGCATAAATTCATTGCAGTGGTCAAGTGCAGACAGATTAAGCTGCCGACCAATTACAACGGGTGACGACTGACTAGTAATATCATCTGACTTAGATTTAGGTAAAGCTTCTGACTTACGTTTAGTTAGGCCATTATTACTAACAAGAGCCGAGAGCTTACGTCGACCAATGACTTTTGGTCTCATCTTGTCTCGAGGCAATTTGTGATCAAGAAAACTTCTGGCAGACAATTTGACTGAATTTCAGCTAGGGGCTAACGATGTAAAAAGAAATTACAACAGTTAGAGGGAAATCGGATGCACAAAGTGAGAATTGCAAAGTGCGATTAGTGAACAGTGGGCATAGACTAGCAAAATTCGAAAGGAGATGACAGCGGGTAGTTCTTAGAGAAAAGGCCTGTATTTAAGGAAATTCAACCAAAAAACAGGTACTAAAATCGTTAGATCTCACAGAAAAACCACTAAAAATAATATTCTCCACTTATCTTCAAATTTAAAACCAGCGGCTTACTTCAAATTTGGATAGAAAGGAAGTCGTCTACAAGATCCCATGTGAGGCCTGTGATGCACTTTATTGAGGTCAAACAGGAAACATCGTCTCTACACGCATTCACGAACACCAACTTGCAGTAAAGAGGCGAGACCACCTGTCTCAAGTAGCCATGCATACCCTGGACACGGGGCATAAGTTTGCTTGGGACAGAACACGGATTGTAGGTGCCTGCCCCTTAAAGAAAGGCCGAGAGTTCCTTGAGGCCATGCACTCGGACGAATCGTGCATCAACCGCCATATCGAGTTGGACGCCGCGTACAAAAGTCTCAAGGAGAAATGGAAGAGACGAGAGCCAATCGGGCCGGATTGACGCAAATAGCGGCCGCTAACGGGCGCAAACGCGAACGACTATCGATTTTTTGTGTGCACTGCCAGATGTTAACTGTTGCCGGCACATTTACTCTCAGTCTGCGTCTGACGACGACCTGGGGAACCAGCGTCGAAAATTCACGCAATAAAATACCTTTCCCAAAGTACGCCTCTGCCTTCAACACACATATATACGTACATCGATTCTGTCCACCTGTCCTAAAACGTATGTAAAATGTATTTTTGTTTGCTATGACAGGAGTCCCAGCGGTTTTGAATAAACAATATTATTATTATCGCCTACATTGCCTTACTTTCAAGTAGCGACTTTCATGGACATTAAACACACCATCAAACAGACGTTTGCTTTTGTGTGTCACCGAAAAATCGATAACTACAAACAGTGGCAGTATAACGCCCCGCGATTTGTGTATGCTTGTTTTAATGGAGAGGCCATTTCAGCGCGCGAACCTAAGATTGTGATGGGATAACTGCGTGTCTGTGAAAATGGCCGGTGTCCTCCTTCTCACTACCGCCGACCCCCATTCCGTAACTCTCTATAACACTCACATTCTTCCTTCTCCCCTATATCGCATCGCCCTCAGCCCCTCCCGTGGAGTTGCCCACAGCGCTGCGCTCACCAGCGGTTATTTGGCTGGCATGTAAGTGTCGTCTCACCATCCAGACGGGTTACTCCCTCGTTGCAATTCATCCCGTTTGTACAACTAACTATCATTATATGTATTCCCAGTTTCTATCTCTTTCCACCCTGCCAGCACCAGCCCCGACTGGCCGCGCCTTGCCGCCGCGGCAATATGTGGCTATGACATGGCCAAACGTGGCCATTTGGCGTGGCTAAGGCGTGGCCTTCGACGCCTCAGCCAGGTTTGGCCACACCATCCGAAAAAAAATGCCTGGCGGCGCCAGCCCCCCTTCTCCATTCATCCACCCACCCTTTTATGGACTCCGTCTTTTACTTGCGAGTGCACTCATTCTAAACTGGCGGCTGTCGCAGTAAGATTGCATGCGTCATTGAATCCTCCCAGCCTCGGCTAAAGCAAATCAGCGATAGACATGCCCCCGTAAGTGCACAATCGGAGAACTTAGTTAGCGTTCATTGTATCCCACGACATAGGAAAATGGACAGACAATGGTTAGAAAGGATGTTTTATTGAGTATTTGCAAATGAGCGAAGTCAGAACGAAAAATACAGGCAGGATGCAGTTCTTCAATGGACATAAATGGGCTTCTGGAGTTTTTCACTGGTTATTGGCGGTTCCTGCAAAAAAAGAACTGTTGTAAAACATGGGTAATGCTTTTGTCATTTGGGTGATTAGTAATTTTAATAGCAGGAGAAATGCGATTTCTAGATGGCCTGTCATAAGGAGGCTTCCTTCGGGGCAGGCCAGACGAGCGTCTGACGTTCCAAGTAGTGAATTCGTCTGCCCGTCACCAGACACTGGACCCTAATTGACCGGATTCGCATTTAAATGCGACTAATTTGGCCCCCTCCCCTCGTTGACTGCGGAGATAATTGGCGTCCCCAATGGTCCATATCCTCACTGCCTCGTGCGAAGAAAATTCCTAAAACTGAAGGGGGGCAAGCTAATTGGTGTAGTTGTTGATTGAGCTGTCGACGAAAGACGACTAGTCGTCTATCAACCCACCCTAGCATGTAATCATCGCCCCCCGTGTCAAAATTGTCCTTGTAAATACACAGGACAGAATGGATGCATGCTCGGATCGCGCATACACGAACATAAGCTGGCTGTGCGGCAAGGCGATGCATTATCACAAGTGGCTGCCCACACCTACGAAATGGGTCACGAGTTTAACTTCGCAGCCACCAACATATTCGTTCACGCCGGAAACAAAACAGGCTGAGAATTGATTGAAGCCTGGGCCTCGGATGAGAAATCAATCAATCGATTTATCGATCTGGCGCCGGCATACTAACCCTGCGTATTCACCTCCAGTCGTGCGACGTAGGTCGATGATTGGGCCTACGTGCCTTATAACTGCCGCTTGTCCTGTTTCTGCCACTACCTCTGACGATGGACTCCTGTACGAGTCTGAAAGCTCAGGATAATAAACGAAGATTTCCGGTGCTCGACTCTTCTTCACTTGTTGCTTCTTCCCTTGCGCATGGATGAGTATTGCGACACGCTACGGCTCTACTCAAATCAATCTTAACCATAATGTCTTCTCAGTGCAACGCTGCATCGGTTTGTGCTATCCTAGACGTCCTCAGCCCTATAGCCACTGTGTTGAGAATATTAAAATAGAATTGAATAGGATTATTATAGTGCCCCTTGGGCATTGTCAGTCTCTTTGAACTCAGGAAAATACCTAAAACCTACTCATCCATTTCGGCTGCAATATTTAGGGTGGTCAAGCGCCCAAAAGACGAAGGATGCGCAACCACAACAAAAAAAAAACAATTAGGCAGGCAATGTTAAAAACAAAGACAAAACAAAATTTAACAAGTGGAATATAGAATAAAATAAAAGGGTTTGCAAAAAGAAAGAGGTAATCATTCATACAATAATAGAAATCACGACTCATTAGTCATGGTAGGCAATTTTATCCAGGTCCTCGTCGCCTGAACAATATACCAATCGCCTCAAATTTACCTGAAAATATACTTGGCCCGATTCGTCAGACAAACCACACAACAATCCGTAAAGTAAGCTTTATCATGAGCCTCAAACAAACCAAGCCCTAACCCTAAACGGGACTGGAAACCTTGCAAAACCTTATCCGCGAACAATAACATTTATCTCCAACATAATCTTGAAACTAAGCCTAACACTTACTTTAGCTCTAATCCAAACATTAACCCCAACCATAGTCCAAATCCTAAACCCAAACGTTAACCCTGGTCTCAGCCCTGACCCCAACACTAACACTAACCTTAACCCTCATGCTTAACTCCAGCCGCAACCCTAGCCCTAATCCCTGAACCTAACTCCAACCCTAACCTGATAAGAACCCTAACCCTAAGCAATCCATATGACTAATCCCAGCGTTAATATTCATCATGAACCAAACTCCTACCAAACCGTAGCCCTAACCCCTGGCTTAATATCAAACCCAAACCTCACAAAACTTAAACGCTAACAGAGTTAGAAATTCGTGTGAACTAACCGGTTTAAAATTACAACGTCGAGCGCCATTGAAGTTGCCGAGGAATATTAGCGAAAAAAACTCGCGAAAAACTTAACTAATCAGCGAACAGATGCTGTTGACCAATGGAAAACGCGTGGGCACCAGAAACCCTACAAGATTCCACCCTCTTTTCGCACTGCACCTCGTCATGGGCTCCTTTGCTATTCCTGGTAATAAATTTATGCCCAATTTACTTCAATAGGGACTCACCTGGCAATAAAAGATGAAAAAAATGTTTCGGGGAGCTTCACACATGTTCATGAGGGAAATATTTTTGCAAACGTTGCTGGTCACGTTGTTGCTGAAACACAATCAGACGGAACAGTATTTATCTGCAGTTGATCAACTTGTTTTTAGACCGTCTACTCTATAAAACCTATTCGGCAGGCGTTACCGATCCCGTCTATTGGCTCCATTGTACTCGCAAAGGTAGGCCGAACGTGTCTGTCCGTACATATGTACGGAAAGATAATCATATGATTATCTTTCCGGCAATGACCTGTGCGAATTTTAACTTAATCCGGTCCACATAATGGTCTTGTTTCCAGAGTTCAAATGCACTCGTATTCTAGGTCTGAGGTCGAACTTTAGCTGGAGGCATCCGCATCAGGACTGCTGAATCCTTATCTAGTACTGTTGGTACGAAAAGGTTCGCTGTGCGTAGGCGCTATATCTGATCTAGGAGCCTAATTTTAACAACGATAAGCAGGCCACTTATTAGAAATTTATTCACGCAAATATTCTATCGCAGAGCATAACCTTACATCCCTGACAACATGTACTAGCCCTTGTCTTGCCCCAACCCTCTACCACCGAACCATCTGTTGCCATTAGGAATGCTAACTTATGTTAGAAGTGCGTCCACGGATCGGGTTGCGTAACTTGTTCGTCCCGTCTTATCGTTCTCTTTGCCTCAGCTTTTTTCACCAACGAACATATTTGCTGTTTGAACGAACTCTTATTATATGTAGCGAAAAATTTGCATTCAGACATTGGTATTACCTCTAATAAAACGAATGACACTTAGAAATGTGTTATTTGATTTTGAATACTTGGAACTTTAACAAGTAAGCGGTATATCTCCGAGCGTTTGAGGGGCTTTTCATAGACGGGATTTCCCGTTTGCTTATACTAGACTCCTCATGCACTGACCTACACTTTCTACTTCAGATCACAAGCATCACTCGACGCTTTGCTCGTTGTGACTTAGTTGCCGTCGGCGACCGACCACTTGCCGGTCCTTTCCGTGGCATGATCCGGCGTGAAGACATCAGATCCACCCAAAGAGATCGTGCAGAACCGTCCCTCTCCTTTCGTCCTGGAGATCTTATCCGGGCGCGTGTCATCAATCTCATCGGTCATGTGGCTGGAGGCCATCCCTCGACCTCACTTCCAGGCGTAGCTTCACCGGATGTGGAACCCATAATAGGATCTGCTCGCGCTGTCGCTGCCGCGGTCACATCAGGCGTAGACTCTTCGGCTGCGTCCTCGCCTACCTGTCTGCTATCAACAGCCGAACCGGAACTTGGTGTTGTCCTGGGCATTGGAAGGCCCCCTCTGAGCGGAACATCAAGTATCTTCGGCTCCACTGGCGGCTTACCGCTTGTGCCCAGTAGCTGGACCGAGATGGTCTGTCCACGCTCCATGGCCAAATTTCCACGTAAAGTCGCCAAGGTGCCCAACGAGCTAATTGACATTCTCCTGTCTTCTTCGTGTCAGTAGTCCTTTCCAGACGTGTTCACAGATTTGTATATATCGTCTTTCTAACAATGCCTTACTCGTACCGCGTATGGACTATAGGAACTTATTTTCGCGTGATACTTGTCAGTGGTTCTCTGTTGAAGGGGCAGTCTGCTATAGGTGGGCAATTTCACTAACTTCCTTGCTACACGCGTCGTCATTCTGTCTATCCAAACCTGATGCTCTACTCTTTTGCTACCCAATGAAGGCGTGTTAAGCGCAGCGACCTCATCTTGGTTGAAATAAGATGCGGGTATACCAGAGGATCTCGTCACCTTTTGGACTCTCGCTTGCATCCTGGCTAGGCCGATAGGAACGGCCCGCAAATGCTGCGGCCTGTGTTGGCAGGGATATTTTATTTCCAAATCCATCACAGTCACCTTGACCTTTTCCTGGCAACAAAACCGGGCGAGTTCGAGAAAGGCCTCAGATAGATTTTGCGCAAGCCTCCTGCACTCCAAGCTGAAGTCTCAATTTCTCCCTCGGGGGTAGTAGTGTGGCTGTTGAGTGTTTGAGTTTTCTACCGACACGTATCTAAGCTCTCTTAACTACCAGATGCAGGGCGAGTATTGCGCGTTTTTTTGCAAAAGTTGTGCGCATGTAGGTGGTGAGCACTGCTTGCTCGCCACCCCACCATCTAGGTAGTCAGATCAACTACATATAATGCGCCCCGTTATAATTGGTCATCAGCCCAATAGTAGGTCGGAAAGGCCAGGTGTCCTATTTCGGTTTATTTGGCGCGCCTCTTTGCCCGGTTATGGTTTAGTCGTCCTCAAAACCCACAGCGCTGCCTAAAGCGTATCTTGTGTAGCAGAGGAAGTTCTAGTTTCAGTAAGACCGCGGCGTTAGTGCAGTGGAGATCCCAGCTAGTTGTTCTGCTCTGTCAATTCTGTTAACAGGTGGCTGGCCCAGCCCGTCACTATTTCTCGCTCGCTCTTCTACAAGGACGAGTAAGAATACATAGGCGTAGGTTGTACATCGTGAAGGCCAGGAGCAGAATGACGGCATGGGTATTACGCTGATGAATACCAACAACTATACCAGGCTATTCTTAACCCGCAATAACCGCGAACGCACATTCCAAAACCTGACCATTCTTGTTGGATACCGTGTCCGTCTCGCCATAAACTAACTCACGCTCAAGCCATCACCGCCCCCCCCCTGCGCCCACCCTGCCGTGAGGCACACGGTGGACATTGTTGCTAATGATAGAACTTTAAGGACACTAGCCATCAGGCCACAAGCACCATCTAAGGAGGAAAACTAACATCCACTACGCCAGACCAACAGTCGCTTGCTCGACATTCAAAATTCGGTTATATTATAGCCGATATTATATCTGATCGGCAAAATTTTGTCACAGACCCGACCGGTGCGCATTTAAACTATCGAGGCCTGTTAAAGGACATGCGTTGGAAGTCCCCAACCTGGCAGGAGGGCTGGGTTTTTTAGACTGAGATTGTGGTTGCAACGGTTCCTTTCTACTTTATGCCAAATTTGGCGATGCGAAATCGGGTTAGTATCAACTGGGTGAGAGGACTGTGCATGGCGTGATAGAGTCTGGGGCACATGCTTGTCCATCTACCGAGTTTGATCTCGTATACATCCGACCCTACACTGCCCGTCTCCAAGTGCGCGATGGAGCAGGTTGCAATGACTTCATATTAGTGCAGCCTCAGGTATGCTACTCGAGTGTGCTGTCCAGGTACTGTCTGACGAGGTGTTATATTCGTCGCCGACACACATTTGCGGCCGTTTTGAGTCATTCTTGCTATCGAAAGACGCAGAGTACAAGAAATTCCGCGATAGTGAAAATCGTCCTCATCGTAACCAAATTTGTGCGTACTTACTGTCACTCCCTTGCGCGGTAGTGGCCCACATCGATCACGATGGGCACACTTTTTTGTGGGTTGAGCCCTAAGCGGCTGATGCTATCGCATTAGCAATAAAGTGGAGGCTGTTTTTTCTGTCGGAAAGGTGTGCAAATGAAGTCTAGTTTGTAGCAAACTCGCGTGTAAAAACCAGCGCGAGTGACTCGTCAGCTACATACTTCATTCGATGTGCATTTAAATTGGTTCGCGTTGGCCGACGGACCAAAAGGTACGTGACACAAGATGGGATTAGCCTCGGCCTATTAGCTGTCCACCTGCAGTGATCCTAGTGTGCTCTTGCCATTCTCGGACAAAGGCGATACGGAAACCGCACCCCACTCCAGCGCAAAACTGTTGACTCTAAATGACTTCGACAAATGTTTCCCGGAGACTGAAAATCCTCGACAGCACTTAGAAGAACTGTTGGTTCACAATGTCCTATTATACTCACAAATGGCATTAAAAGGAAGTAAGAAAATGCATGTACACAAATGACAGTTCACACAAATCCGATGTGAATGCACACAGCCACGGGGGGTTTCACTAGCAGACTGAGCTCATAGACGAATGCGTAGACTGGTTACGGCGCCCTCGGTTCCGGGGATTTTTTGCGCCTGAAACGAATAGATTCTCCGTTAGGAAGCTGCGACAGGGAAACTGTCACTTGCATTTGCTGATACGATCAGAAAAGGAAACAGCGGTGGAGTCAGACAGTACGGGATAACGCTGGGCCGGCCTTTACAGCTGATCTTCAGCTCATTTTCGTGATTAGATAGTATGAAATATGATATTTAAGACAGTTGAGTCACACAGCTGGTTGTGCTGAGGGATTCGTTTACAAGCCAGCCATCCCCTTTATATTGTAGAATTTTAGACCTATAGGTGGAAAACATAATGCGTCTTGGATGGCACCCCAAACGTGCCTGCTTGGAAACTTCTGCACCGTCTTGGTTAGAACTGACGCAAATAAGCCTCCTTTCAATATTTGGCGTTACTCTGATGTCTTTTCTGTCACGTAGTTATGCACGTCAGTTCTCCACCTTCATTAACATAAACGGTTTTTTCCTGATTGACAGCTCGCTCTAACCACAATGGGGCTTTGACATTCTTAAGGAACAAGACATATTACCGTTGCGATAAGTTGCAGAGATACATGCTTAGACGAAGCACCACGCTCCAGGCGCAGATCTGGAGAGAGGTTGGCAAACTTACTCTTTTGAGAGCACCACCTTCAGGCCTCCCCAACGCCCAATATGCTCTAGTGTGTCTCTGTAAAAAGGTCAAAAATGTTTAGTAGTCAACTTTTACTGTGAAGTCACGTTAAATACGGCCACAAACTGTCTTGGCTACCGCTTGCCTACTGAACCCTTTTCTTCGCGTGTGAAAAGATGACAGAAAGTTGGCTAACCCAAATTACTGATCGTGAAGCATGAAAAAAAGTTGTGAAGGGGGACGACGTTTTAATTTCGGGGTGGTTGCAAATACTCTGAACAAAATCAATGAAAGCTAAGCAAAAACATTTACGACAAGGAAACTGGGAGGCCAAGGCAGATTGATTAGACCGGGTTACGATAAATAACTTTAATATCAGGGGGAATAAAAAAAGATCAAAAAGCAAGACTGCCAGAAAGGTTGAAAGCTACGTTTGTCCTCTCTGCTTCTGCCGAGGATGTTCGGCACCTGAAAATACTTAACGGTACTCCACTTTTTGTTGGCTGAGCGACATACTACAGCCACATATTCCTCACAAAGGTGTTTCCGAAAATGGGGCTTTGCAGAAGGAGCCGACAAAGATTTAAAATCAGACGTGATTCCCGAGTCAGAGGGTCTGAGAACTGAATCATCCAGTGTTAACCTGTCCATCTTTCAGTGTTACACCTTCGCAGAAAGACGGAGTGTTAAGTTACCACTACCCACTTCTAGATTCAGCCAACGATGATGATGAGTAGTAGAACAGTCTTGACCTGCGAGGAGCGCTGATGTATTTCTAGTATTGATGAGACAGCGGTGATAAGGACGCTGAAGTGCCCTTATGAATTTCGAACTGGCATGACGTAATGGGAAGCTGGGAAGCCGACGACGAAGGTTCCCCGTCGAAGGCTGCGGTACCTATCGGAAAGCGCTCCCAAGAAGTCCGGAGGCACGTATTGCAGAATTCTACCTGGCCTCTGATAGCGAGAACACTTAGGCCGACAATAAGGCACAAGGTACAGTGAGTGACCGATCTCATGAAAGGTGTGCTGAAATTCTGAAATGCGTTTTTGATTAGGAAGGATTGCGTGGACGCGGCTGTAATATCGATTATCTTGTGGCATAATCTTATAATATTTCGGACTCGGCAGGATGTCAGCTTTTGAATGCACTGCTTTTCAGTCTCCTGTAGTAACCGTACTCGGTAAAAATGACTACTTAAGTAGCATGCATTTTTCCCATTGATTTTCGATGGCCTTGCAAATTCAAATATATCTTATAGAGAACATAAACAAAAATATGCTTTCTCTCAGGCAATTAAAAGAGAATTACGTCTTCTTTACATTTTTTACTCAAGGAAGGACTATAATTAGGTTTTTAAAAAGTTTTCTAATTGTCGAATAAGTTGGAGCCTGAACATTCGTTGCATTAGCGCTTAGTGATTTCAGTCTACAAGGTTCATGTAATCCGTATAAAGAAAATCACATATTTTTCTATGCCATTAAAAAGATATAATGCGGAGTCCATAAAATTTTGCAATGGATGCGGACTGTGTTGTACATTTCATGAGGCGCTATGGTAAACGGCCAGGTACGATGCTATGTGAAAGAACATTGCGCGGTCTTAAAAAGTCTCATAATTAGAAACTTTTTAAAAAACCTAATTATACTCCTTCCTTGAGTACAAAATGTAAAGGAGACGTAACTCTTTATTAATTGCCTGAGAGGAAGCATATTTTTGTTTATGTTCTCTATAAGATATATTTGAATTTGCAAGGCCATCGAAAATCAATGGGAAAAGTGCATGCTACTTAAGTAGTCATTTTTACCGAGTACGGTTTCCACAGGAGACTGAAAAGCAGTGTATTCAAAAGCTGACATCCTGCCGAGTCCGAAATGTTATAAGATTATGCCACAAGAT